CAATCAGTAAAATTGTTGTCTGTCTGATGTATATTCGTTATAGAAACAAAAACTACTAGACGGATTTTAACGAAACTTGGTACAATTATTCTTCATACTCCTGGGCAGGTTATAGTATACTTTTCATCACGCTACGATCAATAGGAGCAGAGCAGTGAAGGGAAATGTTGGGAAAACGGGAGAAGTTACTCCATTTTTAAGCTTCCGTCGCGTGTGCAGCCTTAATGGCCACTTTTTAAAATGTAAAAATGTCCACCCGTGCGACGCCGAGACGGGACGCAAGTATTTGATAAAGATGTACAACAGGCGAGCTTAACTCTGTAAGAATTCTCTTCCATGAAACCCTGAGTGGAAAACAGCATTAATTACCAGAATATTGTTATTGGTTATCATATCAGCCTTTTAAAGTCCACTGCTGAACATAAGCCTTCCCCTTGGGGGGTTTTGCCAGTTGTTGCCACTCTTGGCAGACGGATTGACAACCGTAATCAGGCTTTAGAGATGTTTTAAGAGGGACGCTGCTGCCCATTCCTCGCCCTCCCTTAGTTGGCTTCTATGACCCACACGTAAAAGGTTAGTCATGCATAACATAATATAGTTACTTTTGCCTTGTAATGATAATTAAAAATTGTGCTCAATATTCGATCACCGTAATCGGAATATGGTTTAGTTCCATGTTGCAACAACATGCTTAATATACCACAATATATAAGTAATAAATTTATGTATATGGACATCAAACTGAAAACGATAAAATAGGAAATCGAGACATTCAGCAAAAACTATCAGTCCAGATTGAATAGCCATAGAAATGAATTGGCCGCCCAATTACAAGGATCGGGAAGCATTAGTTTCTCTCGATTAAAAAGACACAGTATCCAAGGACTGGTAGAAAGATTTACAGACAGAGACTGAGAGCTGGTTAATGGATTGGCCTCATCATATATTAACAAGATTTAAACTTGACATCCAAACAGCATATTGGATTATTGTTCTATAAGGAACAGATTGCCAATTAGCAGACTAGAAAAAGAAAAAAAAAATTCCATGTTGAAAATAGAGGAGGTTGATAGATGGGGACGTATTTTTAAATGGGTAAAGATGAAATGATAACTCTGCCTGCACTTTCGGTATATGCTAACAAGGCACCAGTGCCAGATACTAAGTGAAAGTGAAAACAAGAACAGTTGGTCCTTCGTGATGAATTCCTTAAGAATTAGCCACGATGGTTTCTGAGGAAAACCGCTCGGAGATCGACCTGAGATGGGGATAAGAACAACTAATCTGGCATTATTATTATTTGATTAATTTTATTATGTTAATATTTAGATAATAAAATGTCTTTTCTCACCTTAGACTATCCTAGGAAGACATGAGCAGTACCATGGACATAACAGAGTATACTGTTTCGCCCATTATATTCCTCATGCGTTACCATTCCTGAGGACTCAGGTGTTTTAATGCTAATGAAGCCAGCAGGAGTAAATCCCAGCATTGCAATAATTTGTTTCACAAAAAAAACCGACTTCAAAATCAGTTATTTCGATTAAAAACCTAAATTACTGACTTGTTAATATATCCTTTCAGACATAAAAGAGAATATCCCAAGTTCCGGTGTATCTGACAGAATTATGAGGTAACCAACATGAAAATATACAACTGAATTGAGGAATTGAGAATTTCCATTTTTTTTTTTAAATTAGTAGAAAATTATTATCAAATTCAGTTCATAAATTACGACGTAATCGAGTAAGATAGTAAAAAAACAAAACAGTTTAAGAACACAGACGAATTGAGACCTTTTGCTTTTAGAAATAAAGCAGTTTAAAAAGTAAAAAAATATATAACCACTCTGGATAGAATAATTAGAAAATAAACAGACTATAATTGAGCTGTGCAATCTAAAAAACTAGGTAAAGAATTTGGGTCGCCAAGTCGCCATGCCTTGGTAGCTTTCTCTATACAATGTAAGTAAATTCATTACACGGCATTGACTTCTACGTCGGGCTCCTAACTCGAGGGTTTCCATTAAAATTATGTTTCCTAGTTGTTGCTAACTGCACAAATACCGGCATAGAATGGACCTGTTTTTCCTTTACAATGGATATTGTAAGAGGTGACTAAGGAAACTGAATGGTCAAGGGATGGAGAGAAGCGTCCCTCTTAAAACATTACCAAAGCATAACTGCGGTTGCTAACTCGCTGGTCAAGCGTAGCAACTACTGGCTAATCCTCCCCCCCCCAAAGGGATAAGATTAGGCCTATGTTCCGCAGTGGACAGTTAATGAATGATATCAACGAATGAAATGAAGCATCCAATAGTACTGCCTTATTAATAAATTTTGTACAAATTTATCTGAAGAACGATTAAGATAAATTTATTTGCATAAACTCTTGTGTGCAGTAAATACAGGCTGGGTATTTTTAAGAGTATATTTTTAGTAGATAATCATTTATTAAGAGGTAACAGTGAAGCTTTGTATAAAAAAATGTCGTCTGGACTGAATATACCAATCTCTGTCTCGCTTAGTTTTGCCACTAAGCTGCATTCAAACAACGTAGTGTATTTTGTATTGTCTTCAATAGTGGCAAAACCAACTAACAAAGTATTTTGATATCAAAACTAAACTACTAAACCGATTTTAATGAACCCTATTTCTAAGTACGTCTTCATCGTACGGCGCGCCATCGACAGAGAGTTCACCCTCATACCCTACAACCTAGATGCTGGCGTACAACGCAGTTTCAGAGATGTTCTCTACTTTGAATACCCAGGTTATGGAATGAGCTCCCTGCTGAGGTTTTCCAAAGAGACTACAGCATGGGGTTCTTCAAAAGGGGGGTTAAAGAGGTTTCTTTCGTGTTGACAACGCACGTAATACTCCTGGTACAGCAGGCGTTCATAAGCTATGGTAACCGCTTACCATCAGGTGGGCCGTATGCTTGTTTGCCACCTCAGTGGTATAAAAAAAGTATATCCTTTCAGATAAAAAAAAAGAATTTTCCAAACCGACGGACATAAAAAATATACAATTGAGTTGAGAACCTCGTTTTCGAAGTCGGTTGAAGACAATAAAACGTCTCGCTATCTCGACAGTCGATAACGAGCCCGGTTTCGTAAGCGGGCGAAAGTGAAACCGGCGCGCGGCTTTAGCTGACAGCGGCACGACACGACCCCCGCACTACACCGTTAAGGGTAAGTTGAATTATTCTTCTAGATATAATCGGACGTTACAATTCTAAAGGAGTTCTGAGGTGGCCAAGCACTTGAATTGGAGTGAGGTATTGTTATAAATGGAGACGCACGTCCTCACTGTTAGGAATATAGTTTGGCAGTTTGACTACCCAAACCATCGTGCTGAATTTCAGGTGTATTCATCACGATAGGCTAACTTACCTGCTTTTTCATTATCACCTGTTATCTCTGACTGGCGCCCAGCCAGTGTATATCGTTAGCGCAGGCGATGTTACCATTCCGTTAAAAAAAACATTATGAACAATTCCTTATCGCTGCAGATGCTGTAAAGATCAAGCAGCTTGAAGTATACGTCAAATTCAAGCCATATAAATATTGAAAAACCCTTGCTTAGAAAGGAAGAGGCCCATAATGAGACAAACACAGCCCAGTCTGAGGTTGAGGCCGAAAATGAGTTTTAATATTTAGAATTCTTCTGTCTCAGACAGTCTTAGTTCTTCAGCTACCAGATGGAGACTTTGTACAAAAGTCGTTTCCTTGTTGTTGTTTTTTGCATGGCTGTGGTTTGGTTCAAAGGGATATGGCAGTGAATTTATAGGGTACAGAGGAACAACATCTTAGTCCTCAGGAATGGCAACGCATGAGGGGTATCATGAGTTAAATAGTATACCATGTTATAGCCATGGTACTGCTCATGTCTATAGGCAACGGTTACCACTTTTCATCAGGTGGGCAGTCAGTTTCATTGCCATTTTAAATAGCTCTCCTCTTTTCATTTAAGAGTTTCCTCTTGTCTGTGCAACTACTTCATGCATCTTCTTCCAGCCAGCTCTATCCCAGGCCATATCCTTGACCTCCCTATACGACATGATACCTAGTGTTTCTTTTATCTCTTATAAGTTTATTTTAAGTTGCATACAAAAAGTCTCAGAGGCTAGAATATATCGTTCAAGATCACTGAATCAATCGCTATGTTTGCTAAATTCAACAAAAAATTTAAAGATGTAAATAACACCGAAGAAAAAACACAAGAAGCAAATAATTTGCAACTTAAATTAATACACATTTTAAAATATCACACACAAACAACTCTGCTTTGTTTGTGATGTTTAAAAAAACTCAAGTCATTGACATCATATGCGAGGAGAAAAACAAGATAATCAATGTAACACATAATAAGGTTACCTATGTGTAAAATTGGCACGAAAATATGATTATATGTTTAGTAAGATGTAATATTATGGCATTTCAAGAAGTATATAAATAAAATACACATATACACTTGTTTAAGATCGAGTTTTTTTTTTTTTTTTTTAATATTTTTATAAGTCGAGAAGTTGACTGGCTTTATATATTATATAACTTCCATTAGTTACTTTAGTGTCTGAAGTATAAACTAAACAGATACAAACTTGTAACAGATTTGAGTCAAAATGGTTTTAAATGTGGTTCATGATGAAGGAAAACACAATGAAGGGTAATTCCTGTGCCACAAAGCAAATCAAGCATGTCACCAAATTGCTTACATGTTGTGTTCCAGTGTGAATAGTAACATAGTAACAGCTACAGATGGGCAAAGCACCGGGTTTAAACCCGGTGCTTTGGTAAAAACCCAATAAACACCCATAAACTCCCATAATCACCCAAAAAAATAGGTTTTTACGTATTTTTTTGAAAATATGTAAGTAATACCAATAAATTATTTTTATAAATTGTATTGATCAATTCTACAATATTAAATAAAACGTTAACTAATAATATTTCAGGAAATTTTAAAAATCTATATATAATAAAATGAAAGTAATTAATTTTCAGTGTTTTCATGTTGCAGTTGATCAACATGTTGGCCTTTTGCTTCCCGTAGATACTTTAAAATTTCTTCATAACACCTCGTTCGCACACATGGCCGTATATATTTAAATTCTTGAGCCACTAACAGTCCGAAATACTCATTTCTTTTATCCTCTTCTCCATAAATTAAGCATTTAGAACAGTTTGTTTCTTCTTTCAGTAAATTTTCTTTTACTTTATCCTCGTTTTTTTTCTTTGTTGCGACGACGCTGGGTAAATCATCTGGACACTGGGTCTCACTATCGCCAAATATATTTGGAGATCGGCTTCGGCTACGGCTTGGCAGACATTTTTTTCTTTCTACAATTTTAAATTAAATTTATTAGAATAAATGCTTCGAACACACGCGATCTAAGTACCTTTTGTGTTTATTATACCTTACCTACCTAGGTATAAAAAGAGTACTTACGTAGATTTTCTTTTATTAACTGTTTTATACGAAGATCTTGATCTCTCAAATTAGCATCCATTTTACTTCCAGTGATTATCAACTAAATTAATAATCCACAAAGTATTAAATAACGTTTTTATGAAATATTTAGCACAAAAACAATACCCTTTAAATATCGATCGTCAGTAACTGTGGCTGACTTACCTATATTCTAGCAAGCAGGACTGCCAGATGTGAAGGGGAAATCCCCAATAAATTGTTGCATGTGACTGATGATGTGAGCATGTTCGTTTCATAATAAAAATGTTGCCAGGTAACCAAAAAGTCGTATGTTTTTGTGCGAATTACGATCATAATCTTTACGATCGTACATTAAAAAATAGACAAATAATAGTATGAGTACGATTTAAATCGTATATCTGTCAACCCTGCTAGCAAGACAGCGACAAAATCACGTTGCATAACAATGTAGCCCAAGCTTATATCTTATGAAATATACGGAAGAGATACGGACTTAGAAAAAACAGAAATGTTGTTCTTTGTGGAAGTCATTGATGAAATTCTATGTATTTTAGCCCGCAAACTTTCTTCAAACAAAAACAGCGCCATCTAGTATCGAGTTCTGTAATTATCTCTTTGTTTATGGATTTGAAGTAAGACCGCCACGCATGCAATACATTATGACTGGGGATTCCCCTATTCGTCGACGCTGAATATGAGGCGACGACAATCACTGTCAAACGTGTTCACTATTACTCTGACTCTGGTAACGTGACTTCCTGGTAACGTGTTAGGTAGGAAAAGCAGTAAAAAAGTGCATATTAAGGGAGCAGATTTGAAATAATATTTATACTTAACAAGAAATAATTAAAGGTAAGTGGATTTTTGAATGATACAATTATATCATGATCACTTAACAATTTTAACTTAAAATTAGATGTATTATTACAAGCTTTTATTTAGCTTGCGTTATGTAAATAAAAGTATGTAGGTATGTTCGTATGTTGATGCAATTATCCTCAATCCTCAACCGACTGGGATAAAATTTTCCATACACGTTTATTTTGGATGATAGTGCATAGTTAGCTGAGAGTCGTCATTGGATAATAATGGTGGATAGCCTAAGATGTGTACTAGATATTTATTTTTAACATAATATGCGTAAGTACCTAATCGAATTAAAGAAGTTGCTGAGAAAAATACAGAACAATACGATAATAAACTAGCGTCTGCGTTTAATCCTCCGAGGAGATGTAATTTTACAAAGGTTTTTTGTATTTATTTTATTATTTTTTTAATAAATTTATTGTAAATAACAAGAAATAATCATTGTAAAAAAATAGGCACTCTATTGTTGAATTTTCGTCAGACCAACTAATCATCGTTCATTTTTTAGGTTCAATGGGGAGACCTAAAGATTTACGCATATGGGAGCACTACCGTACTTTACCAAACAAGTCTGTTTCTTGCAAGCTTTGTAATAAGGTCTACAAATTCAGTAATGCTGCCAAAATGCTTCAACATCTTATCACTTGTCCAAAATCTCCAGAAACATTAAAAGACTCTATGAAACTTATAAAAGATAGCTCGTCCAAAACCAAAATGTCTGGACTGTCAGAGATAGAGACAAATGATTCTTTTATAAGCCCCTCGTCGTCTGCTAACACTACAATAAATGCTGAGTTTCAAGACACCGATGATCATATAAAAACAGAATTAGCGAGAGCTATATTTGTAACAGGGACGCCATTATCGATGGTGCAACATCCTTTATGGATACAATTTTTCGAAAAATTGCAACCAAAATTTAAAATACCTTCACGTAAAGCTTTAGCGACAAAATACTTAGATAAAATATATAGAGAAATGCGTTTTGAGTTAAATGAGGAACTAAATGCTTGTAGTTACTTACACCTTCAGTGCGATGGCTGGTCTAATTTAAGAAATGAAGGAATAATAAACTTTCTTATATCAAAACCTCAACCTGCATACGTTAAAAGTTTGAATACAGAAAGTAATCCTCACACTAGTGAATACCTTAGCCAAGAAGTTGAAAAAGTAATGAAAGTGTATGGAGCAAATAAGTTTCTTGTACTTATTGGCGATAACGCTAGAAATATACAAAAGGCATTCGAATTAACAAAACTCAAATATCCACATGTTGTTCCTCTCGGTTGCTGTGCACATATCCTTAACTTGTTGTGCCAAGATATTGTAAAGATACAAGAAGTAACTGTGTTTATTATGCAAGCCATAAATATAATAAAAACTGTTAAAAGGAGTCAACGATTAAGTTCCTTGTTGATAAAATCAAGGCAGGGTGAAGATTCTACACAAACACTAAAATTGCCTTGTGCTACAAGATGGGGAAGTCATGTTACTTCGTTAAAAAGTTTGAAAGCAAATAAGATAGCTTTGCAAATATTAACAGTTAGAGAAGATGTGGTAATTTCAAGAGATATTAAAGATTTAATTCTAAGTGATGATTTCTGGACGAAGACAGGGGAATGTATAAGTATTTTGGAACCAGTCACTGAAAGCATATTTTACTTAGAGAGCGACCAGAATCGTTTGCATCGCACATACATTACATTTAGAGATGTACAAGCTAAGATACGTTTTGCATTAAATGAGATTTCGACATTGAGCGAAGAAAGCAAACAGCAGATTCTAACATCAGTATCTTCAAGATGCAATATGGCAATGAGGCCAATACATTTTGCAGCATATATTCTAGACCCCAGGACTCTAGGAGTCGAACTTACTCAAGAGGAAGAACTTAAGGGTATGGAGTTTATCTACAATTTAAGCCAACACTTAAGTTTGTCAAATGTAATGGCAGATTTGGCGTGTTATAAAGCTAAAGAAAACTTTTGGGCCAGAGGATTTGTATGGAGCTCATTAGATAGCATTGAGCCCCTAATATGGTGGAAAGGTATTTGTGGTTCCACTGAGTTAAGCAAAGTAGCGATTCGTATTCTATCAGCTCCCTGTACTTCGGCAGCCACTGAGCGTTCCTTTAGTATCCAAGGCTACATACATAATAACAAAAGAAATCGACTTACAACTGAAAGAACTGAAAAAATTTCATTCATTTGTTATAACTGGAATCTTAAACATAAAGCTGAATGCGAGGACATTCAGTTTAATGAAGAAAATACCTTAGAAGCTTTCATTGAGCAAGTAAATGAACATAACAGTTTAGACGAAATAGAGCCTATCGAACCTATACAATTCATCGCTTGTAATAACTCTGAATCTGACAGTGATTGACTGTAGTTTTACATTTTACTTTCATCTCTTTCTTAATAAACTCAAAATCAAATTAAAAGTTTTTTATTCTGTAGGCTGCATAATAATATTGTCTATGTCCAGTATAGTGGACGTCTTGCGGCTGAGATGACGATGATGAAGTACAAAATCATAAACACCCAAAAATTTGGGTGTTTATGGGGTTTAAACCCAATAAACCCAAAACACCCGGTTTTTACCCACCAGACTTTAAACCCACCCAGGTGGATTGCCCATCTCTAGTAACAGCTAATTAGAGTCGGATTATCGAATGATGGTATTAAAGACATCCTTTACACAACTCCGGGTATAGTTCCAGCAAATTCTATGCAATTTCATGTAAATATATATGCAATATAGTGAAACCTAAATCATTACTACAGCAGCCCAGGAATGCTTGTAAAACCAGAGGTATCACAACTGCGTTGCTGACCCTATAACATAAAACCTCTTTTTTGATAATTAAAAATGGAATGGTAACCCCGTCTATGGATATTATCTGGCAAGATACTAATGAGAGATGACGGGGGGGGGGAGGAATTGTTAGTAATGGAGACTTAGAATCCCATTGCTAGCAATATACCCAACCAGGTCGACCTCCTCGCGGTTCCCCCTGGAAACTATCATGGTTAATTCATGATGAATTCATCATGATGGGCTAACTGGCCTGTTTTTATTCTCATCTATCTCCCTTCACTGGTGCTCCGCCAGCGTATCCCGTTAGCGCAGGCGGGGTTACCATTCCATTTTCACCCATAAAAAAAACGAGAGATGACGGGTTATGATGAAAGCATGTTAGTAAACCATGCGTGGAAGTAGATTTGATAGGGTATATTGCTAGCAACGGAGCTGTTAGACTCCATTATCGACAATCCCTTTCCCTCCAGCATGAGTACTCCACGAACACAGCCTTATTAAAGGGAAAGATTCAGGTGGAGTAGCAACGCATTGGGGGTATCATGGGCGAAACAGTATACTCTGTTATGTCCATGGTACTGCTCATGTCTATAGGCGACGGTTACCACTTTCCATCAGGTGGGCTGTCAGCTTGTGGTAGAGAGAGCCCACCCAAGCATCTGGGATAGAACTTTCAGTTATGGCCAAAGACATGTCTAATAGATTGTATGCACCTTTTTTAAAGGGCCAGACACCATGAAATAGTATCTTAAACGAGCTAATGTCTATCAAATATAGTGTATAATAATTATCTAATACTACTGTTCGAATTGAATTACTATTTGGTCATACAAATAAGACACATAGAAATGTATGTATTATATATTTTATGATATCATACGCGGACGACCTTATCTACTTTCCATCAGAGAGACCGTCAGCTCGTTTGCCTCTTTATTAATAAAAAAAAAATAATAATAATTACCAAATAGTTAAATGAATATGAAGTTATTTTTTTTTATACTCTTCTTAGTTTTAACATTTACCCTCGACCTTGATCATAACAGTGAATCATTCTATTATAAGGGTCAATAAATTCTTTTTTTTTGTTGTAAATTAGGCATGGGTGATATGGATACCGATCCGATACTTATATATTGAGTTTCTTTGGATATTGATTGCGGAAAAAAAGGTCATTACCTATTTTGATATCGCCCATATCGTTCAAATACCTATTTTTTCAAATATGTTAAAAATCTGCTATCCAATATTATTTTTTGTTAAAATATATAGATATTGCTATATGTTACCTAACTCTATTGTAAATACAAAATGTAATAACAAAATACGCAATGAAAATGGCTATAAGTGCGCTGTAAGCGCTGTCCCTTAACGTATCTCCACTAGAGAAATTCACCTTGAAAAGCGAAAGGGGCTCACGTCACGTTTCACGTGCGATGCGATGACGGCTCGATAATAAACTGGCAGCCACCCAGTTTTCCATTTCACTACGTACAGTACAAAAGCGACACGACGAACTATGAGGGTAACTTGTAGAAATGTCTGGGATATTTCAGTACAACGAGTATGTACATATACGAGTAACAGTTAAAAGTTAGTAATAGTTACTAGTATTATAAACTAGCGACCCGCCCCGGCTTTGCACGTGTGCTATGTACTTGTAGAAACAATATGGTGCCAGTGTGATGTGATTAATAATATTACTATTGTATCCGTCTAAATAGCTTTCCAAACTCCAACATAATTTTTTTAAACATTAAAATGGTTATAAAAAGACATCGCAATTTTTTTTTTTGTACTTTTAATAAAGGGGAACAATTCCATCACACATTATTATGTTATATTTCAGCATTTATAATGACAGCTATCAGTTGACTTTATTTCTTTCGACATTTTGGAACAATTATCGTCATATTTCAAAATTAATACAAAAAAAATATACGTGTAAACCTTCCTTTTGAATCACTCTATTTATTGATGAAAACCGTATTAAAATCTGTTGCGTAGTTTCAAAAAGAATTAATCGTACAAATGGCAGGATGCGACTTTATTTTATATTATCTAAAGAAGTGACAGTAAGTTTGTTTGTTATTTTACGCTTTAACTTGGAGAAGGAAATACACAATTGATAATTATCACCGTCAATTATCATACGCAGTCACATGTAAAAACTAGTTTAGTAATAAATCACTAATATCAATGGAATGCTCGAAAATTCACTTTTGGGCGATACATTTGACTGGAATAGACTTGTAGAATTAGTGAATTTTCCTACTTTTATTTATTGACAAATGTACCTAAATAGTCATATATATGTCATTTAATTAAGTTATAATTGAATTAGTCGAGATCGTAACAAACCATGTGAATGGACAAGCAAATAAGAAAACTAAGTACGATGATTGTAAAAGGACTTTTCATTAACGTCATTAAATTTTCCAGTTCTTTACCGAACAATAAATTTAACCTATTTCGATTTGTGTACTATTTATTATAAAATCTTATTTTATCTTATTATTTTTATATTCTCGTTAATAGAGGGTACTCATAGAGACAACATCCATTGATCTAAAAGTTATTTTTTTTTTAGTACACAGGGGGCAAACGAGCATGCGGCTCACCTGATGGTAAGTGACTACCGCCGCCCATGATCACCCGCAACACCAGAGGCATTGCAGGTGTGCTGCCGGCCTTTTAAAAAATAATATGCTCTTTTCTTGAAGGTTATGATGTCGTATCGGTTCGGAAATACCTACTGCTGCTGAAAGTCGATTCCAAATTTAAAAAAAGAAAAACATGCAATTGTATATTATAATTTCTGCGTATTTTTTAATTTTTCTTCGTCGCACTGAAGAAGCTATGAATAAACAAATTTGTAAAGTCGAACCACGTACAGGTATTTCTTTGTTACTAAACAAGATTTATATTTATGCTAAGAAGGAAATACATTTTGTTGTTTATACATAAATGCATTTAAACTTTTAAATAGATGGCGCTGCTGTCTAGGCATGTCATCATTATCTCCCTGCCCTTGTCCCATATAATTTGGGGTTTTTTCTTTCATTCATCTCTATACAGTCATTCCAGAATTAGCTGCTTTATTTATTTATTTATATACTTTTGTGTATCCACTTATAGTATAGATATTAGGATATAACATAATAAATGTACACAGGCAGACTTATCCCTTAAAGGAATTTCTTCCAGTCAATCTTGAGAAACTGAAGGAAGACAGTGTCTATAGGGTTTGTACATAAAGCATATTAAATATAGTGCAAAAATAATACGATAAATGTATATATATATATATTTTTTTTATACCACTGAGGTGGCAAACAAGCATACGGCCCACCTGATGGTAAGCGATTTGTATATAACGCCTGCAATACCAGAATATAGTGAAGAAACCTCTTTACCCCCTTTTGAAAAATGCTGTAGTCTTTCGGGAAAATAAAGCTCATTATATATATATATATATATATATATATATATATATATATATATATATATATATATATATATATATATATACACATTATACATATAACTCAACTATCAACTGTAAAACCAGTTTCATATCATCTTTCACACAGTCCACTCATATCTTTTTAGATCTTCCTCTGCTCTCATAACCTGGGACTTCTTTCATATTTGACGTCCATAGTTATTCATGTTTATGGGTGAAAGTTACCACTAAGTAGGCCGCGAGCTTGTTTGTTGCTCCGTGTTGCATAAAAAAATATAGACATGAGTCATACCATTTACATATGAGGATCTATTGTTCAAATGGCTAGACAATGACATTGACCGAATTGAGCGTAATAGAAAATTCAAAATTGTCATAAATAATATTTATAATTTCAATATTTTGAGAATATAGAAATTCTAAATGTCATTTCAAATATAATTATTAACACTATACTAAAGGAAACAGATTAGAACTAGCAACTGATTTCACATACATTTTACAAACAATTTTGGGCCCCAACTTGTGCCTTGCGGAACTCCACCCCACAACAACGTATACGTTAACACTATGTCCAAAACTAAAATCTATATAATAATTTGCGTAAATTTAAAAAGGAACTGTATATATTTATATTAGCAGACTGCTGTATAGTCCCAGAATAGAATGGGGTACCCCTTCCTTTCCCGTAGGTGTCGAATAAGGCGACTAAGGAAAATTAATAGTCGAGAGATAAGCAGCAATGTTCCTCATCACAACATCACCAAAAGCCTAACCGCAGTTGCCAATCCGCCTGCCAAACGTGGCGACTACTGACAAAACCGTTATTATAAAGGCCAATGTTCAGCAGTGGACAGTTAACGGCTAATATGATTACAGAATATTATATTTATAGATATAATTGTATTTAAAATGTACCGTTAAATTGACGCACTGATGTACCAAAAATTGTATTTAGGACATAGTGCGGTAAAAATAAATAAAAAACCATCGATTGGTCACTGAATCATGACGGATGATGCACGGTACGACGAACCTGAGTTAACAGTGCTAATAACAACATCTCCACGGTTTGTTTTTGTTCATCTCGGAAGAGATTGTACATCATTACATTTACATTACGTTCAAGGCGAAATATTTTGACTTCGAGACGTTTCAAATCTGTTAAATGAATACAATTTTAGCTGTTCTATGTTTGGATTGCTAATTTATGTTTTAATATATCTTACGCACAAAAAAATCTTGTACTCTTAGATAATTCTTTACAAGATATTCTTCACCTCTTTTACGGATTATCAATATTAGGTACATTTAAGTACTATTTTTTCGCTTTTCTTCCATGCTATTAATTAAAATA